CTCATGTAGTTTGTCCCAGATAAAGGCTACTGGTGTATCAAGCAGGGGTACATGAAGGGAAAGGTGGTCTTTCAAGTATGTAGGTTTCAGGTCATGAAAGGGTTTAAAGGTAAGTACCAGCACCTTGAATTGAACACTGAAACAAAGTGGCAGTCAATGTAGAGGACTCGGAATGGGAAGCGTATGCTCCCAGTGGCCCATTCCAAATAACAGAGTGCAACATGTTGCACCAGCTGAGTTTCCAGTTCATTTTCAAGGTGCTCACTGATGCTTTGGAATGATTAAGTGCTGCATTTAAAATCAACTGCAGTTTGAGCCTGTGTGCTGCCTTTGTACCTGCAAAGTCAGCATCATTCACCAGTCACTGGAATTCATTGTGGTGCAGAATGTGCCAATCGAACGACAGCTCCCAAATGGCAGTGTGTGAAGGTACAAAGTATTTGTGATCCTATGTAGATCATTTGGTCAACATACTCAGCTTTAGCCATAAGGCAAAACAACAACAATGAAAAGAGCAGTGCCGTACGACTATGGGAACAAGCCACACAGCTTTCCTCTTCTTCCAAACCCAAGGAAATGCTCTTTTTGTTTTGATGCTGTGTACTAGACGTGAGTGCATTTGTTCTATCTTCCTGTGAGATTATTTCTAAAATAAACCTGAACTAGCTCCCTGTATTGTAGATGACCAAAGTAACAGGCAATTATGCATTGTAGTCTTTTTTAACCATGTGTCATTAATGCTATCTTGTGAGCTTGTATGCCACTGACTTGTCACATGCTAGGGCTTTGGAATTAGAAATCAACTAAGCAGAGAGCAGAATGAATCTCATCTGTTTTTTAGTTTACTGGAAATAATGACACTAGTTTTTGGAGGACTTCGAAAATGATTGTTTCTTTAGTTCCTTGCTGTCTGCTTTTCACAGTTGTACAATGTGAGGGAAGGGAAGCAGATAGCTGACAAGAGGCGGGAATGATTGTGGATGTGCATTCTGATGTGCAGCAAAATGCACATCAAATTCAAAAGAATTTAGTGAGTGTGATTCAGAGCCACAGTGATCCATTACTTCTAAGGGATGTAGTACACAGTTTGAGTCCAATAGCACCTTAAAGGCTAGGAAAATTTTCCAGGATATATGTTTTTTGTGAGTCAAAGCTCACTTCATCTTCGTATCTGATAAAGTGTGCTGTGCGGAAATGCTGTTGATCTCTAAGGTGATCCTCTAAGGACTCAACTTTTGTTCTGTTGCTGTAGGCTAACATGTCTGTCCACCTGAAACTATATTCTAGAGGATGTGTCTCCCACACACATTCTGCCCCATCTAGTCATGGTTAACTAAGCAAAATTCCAGCTGTATTGTAGTCATAGTCCTGCCACGTAATGCATATGAGAAATGAAATCACCAAGCCAGGAAGGAGCGTCGGCCCTGGTTTATCCCTTTCAAGTAAAACAAAAGCCAGATAAATCAACTTGATAAGTGTTTATGATTAAACGAGTCGTAAATCACGAGTTGAGAGCTTTCAGATCTGATTGTGGGAAGAATAGGACCAGCCAGGAGAATGTAGCCTAACTTCTTTTTGTCCTATATAACCTTTCAGGAAACTGCTATCATTTCAAGGTCTCAAGAGAAAGCAATTGAATGCAAACAAGGTAGTAACACAGTCATGTGTTTCATGTACCCTATGCTTTTTGTCAGCACTGAAGTTGATTAAAATACCTGTATGTGAACTGTTAATTTGGCTCCATTTTAATGTCAATATTGATTCTGACCTCACCCTAGTCACATACCTGGGAGGAATTTTATATCCCTCAGAATGATTTTTCATAAATATAGTACTGTACATATTTGCCTTTGTCCCCCCCCCCCGGAACCTGCACCAATAAAACAAACCAGTGAACCATGTCTTTGTATTACTTTCTCTCTTGTTGTGGGCCTTGATCATCATAGCTGTGGTATCAAATTGATCCGATCCATGAAGATGGCTCTATGTAGTAAATAATTTCTGCAGTGTCCAGTGCATTTTGTGGCCTAGATATCCTTTGAACTATTGAAAGTACATTGTAAAATGAAATGTTGTTTCCCCAAGTAATTCTCGAATCAGATTAAGCAATGGTTAAAATAACTATGGGAACAATCCAGCCAGAAATACCGCCCCCCCCCCCATAGGGATGTTAAGCACGCGGAAATCAGGGGGATCTTTCTATTCATAACATAGTTGCTTCCATGTTGGTCCAGGCACATATAAGCACTTGTTCCCGTCTAGTTCAGCTTCCTGATGTGTGGTTTGTAAGTATCAAGCATGAATGGCCAACTCGTATGGTTGTAAATATTCTAGAATCAAAGGAGGTAGACCAATCCATGTTGTAAAGGGAGGCTTAAAATTCTTGAATGTGGTTTGTTCTGTTTGGAGTGAAAGAGGAAAAGAGGTGGTAGGTGACAGTGTTATTGTTATACAACGCCCCTACACGTTGTGTCATAAAAGCTTAATCATGGAGATAAGAGAATTCACTTTGTACTGAACCTGTTCTAATTGCTGTGGAATGGTTCTGTGCAAAGTGAATTCTCTGATCCCCCTGACGAAGCTTTTACAGTGAAACACATAGGGGCTTTGTATAACAATAAAGCTGTCACCTAATATCTCTTTTCCTGGTTTGGTTTGCAAACATGTTGCTTGGTGTAACCAATCTTTTTCCTTCTTTGAAGTAAAAGAAGACAACAATATGTTGCCTTCATAACCAACAATATGTTTTTACTGATCCTGTGGTTTTCAGTGGTGATGCTTCAGTGACTAGCTTTGTGGGTGACTGTCTTCAGGGGCAAGGTGGACAACTGTCTGGTTGGGGAAACAATGCCCAGGGATGGTGGAGTTGGGGAGGGAAGGGAGCTCGGTGGAGATGTGATGACATAATGGCTGCCCTCCAAAGCTGTCGTTTTTTCCAGGGGAACATGTCTATGTAGTCTGAAGAGCAGTTGTAACTTTAGGAGAAATTTAGGCTCCACCTTGAGATTGGTAACCCTACTTCTGGAACTGGGAAGCCAATTGCATAGCTATTGTTTCCTCAGCCAAGGTGCATTCCATTTTTTTCCTGGGTCATGGCAGGGAGATGTTCAACATATGGTGCTTCTACTATCAAAGGGGTTTAGTGATGGAGAAAGCTATATACTGTTGAGCATCTTCCCCATAGATGGGAAATTATTGGAGAATCTGCCAAAGCTGAGTTTTGAAAACTCAAAACTAGCACAATATCAGAGGCATGCATTGCTATCATAACTTTTAGGACAGGAGAAGAAAATAGAGAGATGCTTCCAAACACATGAAGACTTCCAGTTCAAAATAATGAAATTGAACTGGTATGCTTTCAGGAATTATCTTGTTTTGTTCCATGATGGTTGCGCATTGTGTGTGAGAGAGCTGTAGAAGTATACGCAGGGCTCAGGGACCGCAAGGAATGGAGTGAAAATATGGTAGCTGGAGACAGGGCTGCTTAGGAGATGGTTACTTGCAGTGGCTGTAGACATTTTGAAGAGCTATCAGTGACCTACAACTTCTCCTAGATAAGGGTATTTCTCTTTCATAGGTGATGGGTGGCAGGCCTTTGCTGTGTTACACAGCTCTCCAACTTAAAACAGCTTCTCACCAACAACAATGGACCACCCAATAGAGACACAAACCCAGGAACCAACCCTACAACAGACCTAGAGGCCAACTTTGTTCCTATATGCACTCTGACACCCATAATATCCATTACCACTACATCATATTGGGTTCCTCATCCTAAATGATATATGCCATCATGTGCCTACTGTACCCTTCGGCTATCAAGTCTGCCTCTATGTGAGATCATCAAGGAACACAAATCTGACATGAAAAACAGCATGTTTTAATCTTCTGGACAAACTGCTGCAGAAAGTCACTATTCATTTAAAAAAATCTAAGCACACAGTGTGAAAGTGGTGATTTAGAACATAAGAAGGAATAGTTATCTCTTACCTTGGCCTGAACAGAGACTAGGTGTTCCTTACTCATTATAATTTCTAATAGCTCAGTGGGACCAACTTTTAGAGACTTTAATTGACCCTTAACATATTGTATCATACTGTAACTCTTTGCTGATGGTAGTTAATTTTTCTTATGCTTCAGATTGCTTCTTTTGTGATTAGTCATGTTAATTCTCCTTCATTACACTGTTTATCTGTATCCCACGAAACATCTCTCACCATCCATTATGTGTAACAACCAAATCCATTCCAGACCCTTACACTGGGAATATCGCTGGAAAGGATTCTCCACTCCCGCTCTCTCTCACCCTTCTATGATTTTTGTTATAAAAATCACCAAAATGATTGTATTCCTATAAGCACCTGAAGAAGTGAGTTCTAACTCCTAAAAGCTTATGCTGGAATAAACATTGTTAGTCTTTAAGGTGCCACTGGACTTCTGTTTTCTATTGCTACAATAGACTAACAACACAGCTGCCCCTCTGGAATTACCTAGAGTGAGATGTGAAATGAGGGAGCTAGTACAGTTGTGCAGATTTCTTGGTAGCTATTCAAGGGATGTGAGTCCAACTGGTACCTTATTTTGTTTAAGTCTTATTGATTAATCAGAAGTAGTAGTTATGAGGCTAACTTGCAATCCTAAATGGAGTCACAGTCTTCTAAGCCCATTCACTTCAGTAGACATAGCAGGGTATAATTTCTGTAAATCACAAAAGCATATTGAATACTGTTATTGATAGATATTTGCTGAAATCTTTGATGTTTTTTTTACAAAGCTCACTTTATGTTTCTTCCTCCAACAAGTATGATTCTTGTTCCTGCTCCTGACCATTTCTATTACTTGTTCTGCTAGTATTAGTGCTGGCCCCCCCCCAGGCACAGGGATCCCCTACCCCCACCTTCTCTTTCTCACCACTGCTTTTTTAAAAAATGGCAAGTAAAAGTTTAACATTTATTGGAACAGATGACAATAATTTAGGCATCAGCAATAGTAACTTCCACTTATACACCAGGCGCAATACTGATAGAAGTTATCTGCTTGACAATCTCTGGTGGACTGTGCAAATTGATAAGACACTTATGAATACACATCTGGAAACAATCCCAAGTCTTGGAACCTTCACCACATGGTGTTTTCTGTGTAGTGAGAGTCTTGGTAGGCATGTGGACAGGTCCTTTCACTTTTAGTGTTTTTTTTTCTTTTGCACCTCTGATCAGATCTGCACAGACTTTCTCCAGGGATTTCACATTACAACTTGTCAAGGTAATTCTGATTTGGTGAATTGCTACTTCCTGTTCTACAGGTGCCTTGCCAGTATCTTTAAATGTCATGGCTGCCTTGAAGGGTTCCTGACCTACTTATTCCTGGCTAGAGTGAGCGAGGCCCAAGGAACAGTGGTGAGTCAGGATAGCGCGACACCACCCAGACACGAGCATATGCAGAGAAAGAGCTTTCTCACCACTGCTTTAGGTGGCAGCTGGAAAAAAAAATAGTTCTCAAGTTGAGGGTATGACATCATTCACCCTATGTTCATCCTTCCAGTTTTCCAGATAAAAAGGCCCAGCCCCCTAAAAGAGGAAGGGAGGAAGAGGCAACCTATCTGCCCAGCTGGATTGGACAACTTTCCATGCAAGGCTTGGGTAGGTCAGGTGCCACCTATACCACCAATGGCATGGGTGGGCTTAGGGTTGCCAGTTCCCTCCTGGCAACTGGCAGGGGATGGAGGGGACTTAACAGAAGGGGGGGTCCAGGCAACACAGCTGGTAATGTGGCGATATTACTTTTGGCACACATAAGACGTGATATCATCATGTTGCAGTGACGCGGGAACAGTCTGGTATTTGGGCAAAAACTCAATGGTAAAAATGGCTTCTACCATTTTTACCATAAATACCAGAGCATCACCTGGACATCCCCTGCATGATGACATCACTTCTTGTGCACACCAAAAGTGACATCGCCACATCACTGGCAACGTCACCTGGGCCTTCCTCTTTCTCCTGGTAAGTCGCCCCCCCTGCCAGACAGATGATCGGTGGGGGGGCCTGGTGGCAGGGGACCCCCCTCCACTGGGGGAGCTGGGAACTGCCTTCCTTAGTTGGGCACCTCCTCCCCTGGACTGTGCAGGTCTTGGGCAAGCTGGGCATCACATCCCCTGGGTTGTGCATGGCTCAGGTGGGCTGGGTGTCACCTCAGGCTCAGCCAGACTGGGCGGCACCTCCCCAGGGTTGTGCAGGGCTTGGGCAGGCTGGGTGCCACCACAGGCCTAGGTGGGCTGAGTGCTACCTCATCTGGTCAGGTGTAGCCTCCTTTGGGCTGTGCAAGGCTAGGACTGGCTGGGCACTGCCTCTCCTGGAAGGTATGGACCATGTGCTGCCTCAAGCCAGGTGCTACCTCCCCCACCCAGGTGGGCAGAGGAGGCCATAGGCCTAGGAGGAAGAATTCCAGTGGACATAATGGCCAATATGACCCAACAAAGGGCCTTTGTGTGTGTGCATGTAAAGAAACAGCAGTTACCAGTTTAGAAGAGACAAACAGAGAGAAAGACTTGGCTGGAAGCTGGCTGAAGTTGAGGCACATTAGGGTGCACACTTTCTCTCTTTTTCTGGAAATATGATGTGAGATAGCAGATTTGGCTCCTAGAAGTGCTCTGCTTGGATATTTGTAAATCAAGTTTTACCAGTGATGTCCTGTACTCATCTATACAAAAGAAACCAAATCCAGAAAGAGCCGACCTTGAAACTTCTCACTGTTTGGGGGAAGCATGCAACAATATTTTAATGAAAGCCCAACGGGGGGAAGATGTGGTCATACAAAGACAAAGCCATTATGTAACCACAGAGAACTCAAAAAGAAAGGAAAAGAAATCCAAAACCTTGTATGCTATTAGCCAACAATGATGGAGTGGTCCACTCAAAAAGCAGCCATTTTTTCAGCTTTCTAAAAGCTTTTAGACCTTCATAAATGACCACAGGGATTTGATCCCAAGAATAGAGTGCTCAGATATGGGCAGTTTCAAGCACCTTAATGTTTCTTTTAAAGAAATCAATATCTTTAAAACTATAAAGGTTACAAACCTCAAGATATATGTTAGAATCCTAGAGTGAGGAATCTGAATATACTGAAGTGTACAGCAAAACAAACCAATCAACGAACAAACAAAACAAAAACAAACATCAAAATAGACTGGACAGATAAAACATAGTCTGAGTCAAGAAAAACTTTTTTTTATATATAAAATTTTTATTAGTTTTCTTCCTACACACTACAAAACTATGACCTACGAAACTAAAGCTACAAAGAGAGTAACAAGAACCTTTGACTAAGGGTGGGTACCCATTTATCTACTCGCCGATAGATAGTTACTTGGCTTTCAAACCGCTGGGTGGGCGGGAGCTAGGACTTAAGGGTCGAGAGCTCACCTCGACCGCGGTGGGACTCGAACAGGTGCTCGAGTTGATGTTAATGCAGGCGTTATACTGCCTGCGCCACCGCTCCCTGTTCTTGAATTTTGACTGTTGTCACTGTAGATGCTTTGACTATTGAGTCTCTTATTGATCTTTTTGCAAATTTTACAAAAATTTCCCCTGGGAGATTTTTTTTTTTTTACAAACTCTGAATAGGTTCTGTAAATCATATCAATGTCTGCTTATATTAATTCAGGTTTGCTTTTGATTAAGGAGGCCATTGCTTTGCTTATAATTTCTCTTAAATTCTCATATTTTTTCTCTGGCACCCCTTGAAATCTTAAGACAAAAGAAGATCTTTTCATTTGTAGCTGTAGAAGTTGTTGCTTTTCAGAAGTTCTTTCTTTTTCCACCTTATCCATTCTTTGATCTATTTCTTTGGTCTTAATTTCAACCTTTTTTATCTTTTTGGCTGACTTCTCTGATTTGACTGCAGTTTCCTTGAGCTCTTTCTGTAAAGTGTCAAATTTTTTATTGAGGTTCGTAAGCTGGTCCAGCAGAGGGTGCATGGCTTCGGAAATTGCAGTAGCTAGCTCGTTGGTATTTTCTGGTCTTGTGACTGGTGATGCTGTGCTGGCATTTCCTGTAGAGCCTCTGCCTCTGGACGCCATTTTACTCCCACGCTGAGACATTGTTTATACTTAGGTAAAAGTTTATAAAAGTTCTGAGATCTTTTCTATGTTGTAAAAGATGGGTTCAAATGTATTCCACTTGGAATAGGGTGTTAATTACCTGGGTACGGCAAGCTTCTACACTGCAATTTCGCTACTGGGTAGGATTCTTCCTCTGCGAGTCCCCCCCCCCCTTGTCTCTTTGAAGCTAAGCCAGTTCACTGTGCTGATTTCTTCCAACACCCTTTTTATATATGTCTTTCTTTTTGCCACTTAACTCACTGTTTGTTTAATTGCTGGATCACTTTTTCTCGTAGATTTTCTTTTTAGTTAAGTTCTTGTCTGCTCTGTTCTGGTAACGTCTCTGAGCGCCATTGCTGGCCTCGGGACCGCGGGACCTATCGGAGCAGAAAGGAGCACTATGCCACCAAACTGAAACTTCAGGAGTGGCCCCTTTGGTGCTCCAGGCTAGAAGCTCCCTCCCGGAACTTCACGGGGAGGATGGGACCAGCCAATCCCCCTCCCCGCCACCCTGATCTGACTCGCCCCCATCAGAGCTGAATGGGGTGCGACCGTCGCGGGTCGCCATACACCGGAAGTCCTGAGTCAAGAATAAATTCTGGCCTTCAGTCCAGGGTTAAATGGATTTTGGAAACAGAGATGAACCAGTGGTATGACATTTTCAAATACCTGAATTACTTTGCTGGAAAGTATATTGCAAAATGTTGAAGCCATTTTTTTAACCTTTTTATTTATTTTATTTTAATCATTAACTTTTTATTAATTTTTCATTATTCATTAAAATCCATTAAACTACATAGAACAACAGTTTTCAATATTTCAAAATTCAAACATCAGAGAAGATTATTACTAAAACAGCAGGGGTTGGTGTTAAAATACAACTTCTTTTGGAAAACATAAAACAGCAACTTTTTTGTGCACAAACCATTTGTTGAAATATTGCTAACTCAAAGTCATCCTAGGTTGGCCATGTGAGGTGTGAAATTTAGCCTAGTGTTACACAACCAGCATATTGAAGGTGTAAGGTGATTGAGGAGTGTGTTGTTTAAGTGTAGAGTAATTTAAGATAAATCTGTTTATGTGGTTGAATGTCTTTCTCAGTGATCCATTCAAAAAACAGAAACCATTTCGCATAAAAGGAAGTCTTCTTGGGAAACTGATCTATGCATCGGATGTGGTCTGTAATTTTCTCTATTACAAAAAAAGTTCCCAGACTTTTGAGAACCAGAGTTCAATCGTGGGGGCAAGATGGGACTTCCATCTGGAGGCAATGCAAGATTGTGCTGCAAATATCAAACTCAATATGAGGTCTTGTCGAATTGACGGGATTTGGAGGTCTTGCCAGATGTTAAGAAAGAGTATTTCTAGTTTAGTGGTATGTCATAACCAGTAATGATTTTGATTTGTCCAAGAACTTCTTGCCAAAAAGAGTTAGTGGTTGGGCATTCCCACCAGCAATAGGCGTAGGATCCAATATTACCACAATTCCTCCAGCAGAGTGGTGAGGAAGTTGTTGAGGAGAGTGCAAGTTTCCGGGGGGTCAGGTACCAGCGAGTGATAATTTTATATGATTGCAGTTGCGTACTGATGATTGGCAATGTGAGTGTGGGTGAGGACCAGACTTGATCCCACAGTTCATCCGTGATTGTGCAACCGCAATCCGATTGCCATTTGTTTTTGTAGGGTAGGTCTGTGGTGCTGTGAAGACAAATCAGGATGTTGTAAGTCTTGGAAATTAGCCCTTTAGATGTATTTCCAGTAGAATCTAGTATGTTTTCAAATATAGATTTAGTAGATTTTTGAGGAGAGATAATTTTAAGGGTAGACAGTACATGATTGAGTTGCATATAGAAGAACCATGGGATGGGGGAATGTAACTTTTGTTCT